CCGGCCTGTTGCTCCTAAATGTAGTGAGGGATGCTGAAGTTAGATTCTGGCTTCCATATGTGTAATGGAGAGGAGCACTAACTCATTCAGGCTGCAAAATGTTGTGGATTGGCCCTGCCCCTCTCAGAGGCAGAATACATTCTTTCTATGCAGGAAGCCCCACGTTCAGTCTCAGACATCTTTACAGAAGAGTAGGAATATCTTATGCCTGGACAGCCATTCCCAGTCAAGGTGAACAGTTCTGAACAAGATGGATCAGTGCTCTGTCTCACAATAATGCAGCTACTCATGTACTCTCAGTCATTCTTCTCTCCATTTCATATTTGAAGTTATTTATGAATAGCCTTCAGATATGCACAACCATTTTCAATAACCATAGCTAACTTTTAAACATAATTTATCACCACGGGTAGAAGTGTGTCCATGTGCTTCTATGGAGAAAATATGACTCATGGTTAAATTCAAAACTGAAAGAGCAGAGCTTGGGGGTGGGGTAGGGGAACGAGGATTTGCCCAAGACCGTGTAAGAATTGTCTAACCATAGTTAAGTAATCAGACAGCATTATGTCTGCACTGAACCTGTGGGATGAATCAATTGCAGCAATTCAGGTTGTCAGTTCAGGCGTTCATAGATATTTATATGAGAGAATCTTAAAGTGTAACCAGCTGCAAAGCTTGCTAAATGCTTATTGTCACAGTTGAGCAGGGGTGGATAGAGACTCTGATTTTATTGTGTGCGTATCTGTGAATCCATTGTGGGTTTTATTCTGAACTGAACCTGCTGGAGGAATAGAGTTCAGCACCTTAGATAGCTCCTGGCTCAGAAATGATTTGTGGGCCCCATCATGTTAGAGGCACAAGTCACACTTGCTTTTGGTGTATGGTCAACTGGTCCAGAAGATGAACATGGACCCTATTCTGTGGAACAGTTATCTGATTATGGGAGACAGTGTCCACAGTTGCGTTCATGTATGCAACAGAGAAAGGGCAGCCATGCAATATTGATTAGCATTCTTCTCCCCCAGCAGGCTGCCCTTCAAGTAACTGGTTGCACATGGGTTATGGAACTGGTCATATGGCCAACCATTGATTGACTGTGTGATGGGCAACCGCCAGAAAGGAATAACACTGCTCAATTGCCCTTGCATATTCATTTTCCATTACCAGGATTTTGACCATAATGGTGTGAATATCATCAGATTTTATGTAGACGCAAAAGCAGTTTTACACAGTTCCTGGAAAACAGGATTATTTTTAAAAAGCACTTGCCAGCATTTGGCAGATATTATATTTGACTTATCTCATGTTTAATGCCTGACAAATAATTGCAGATAAAACTCACAACCGATCAAATGCAGAAAATGGACATAGGGGAATATATTTAGCTGGCACTGGGAAGAACTGTTTGGACTACCTTCTAGTCATGGGGGAAAATAACCATGGCACACAAAGATTATCCAATTGACAGACTTCTGTTAATCCGGTTACCTTTTCTTGATGAAACTGGATCTTCAAAATAAAATAATCTGTGCTGAGTGTACCTATGCAAAGACTTGGATCAGACTCGTTTTGTTACTGTGAAATATCATTATCTTTATATAGAATGCTCTGGGGATGGGAACCACAAGTGTATTATTAGTATTACAAGTTTGTATTATTATTATTTCTAATTTTCTTTGTTACGCTTCATTGAAGAGTATTTAAAAATGCTGAAATGAAGAGCATAATATCCTGATCCATCCATGGATTTTTCTGAATATTTCACTCAAAGGAGAAAATCCCAAATGCACCAAACACAGCGCGCGCGCGCGCACACACACACACACACACACACACACACACACACTGTCTGATCCATATTCATAGCTTTTCCTGTAACAGATTTATTCCCCTTTGTGTCCCCAAAGTGTTTGTAGTTCAAAATAAAGGCTGTCCGTGTAGAAACCACCCCCCTCTTTAGATAAGAGGGAGGGAGGGGAAGGGCTCACAGGAGGGGACAAACGAACTTTGTAACAACACTGATTACATATCACATATCTCAGACTCCTATGCATCAGTTAAGCAAAGGACATTCTTTAAAAGAGGATTGGTGTGGAAGCAGCTGTCTGCTTTCTGTAAAACCATGCAGTGAAATGTGATCTTTGGTGGCTGCATATTGTTTCAGTGGCTCTATGAATTTAGCTGCCATTGCTTTCATTATTTATTAAGTGCCATACGGGCACAGCTTAGAGGGGGTGCCAGATGTCACTGTTAGGATAATCCTGAGAGCCTGTATGGTGAACTTAGCAGCATGTCAGACTTGAACCTGGATGGTTTGAGTTTAGATCCCTGTTCTGCAGTGATGCAAACTAGGTAGCCTTGCCTTAGCCATAATCGCCCTCCAGCTATTCCTAGTGGAGGAGAAAAATAAGGGATAACCCACAAGTACCGCTGGTGTACTTGTAACTAAACACATTTGTATGTATTTATTGGACATTTATGCAATTATTGGATTAATATCCCACCTTTCTCTCAAAAACAGGACTAAAGGCAGCTTGCAGTGAGATGAACAAAAACGAATTCACATACTAAAACACAGTTATATTTAAAAAATATAAGTTAATAAAATAATGGAAATAAATGACAGGAGTCACTCAGTAAAGCATATATTTCTCAGCGCTCAATCAGCAGCCAAAACACTGCCTGACTGAAAAGGTCCTTGCGTGCCCAGGGAAGGAAGAGATGGAAGGAAGGAGCCAGCCTCGTCTCCCTCAATACTGAGATTCAGAGCCTGGAAACAGCCAGTGAGAAAGCATCTTTCACATCTCCGCCAAACCTCCCTCTGAAGGTGGTGGTAGAGCACAGAGAGGTAGGGCAGACTAATGTAGACTGTCAGGTTCTGTTTGGCACCAGCTTTCAAGGACTGTAGCTGGCTTCTTCAGAGGCATGGACAACCCTCAGGTGAGAGTCGTGATTTCACTAGGGCTTTACTCCATTTATCTGCTGAAGAGGGCCTCAGGCCACTCGAGTTTCTGCCAAACGGAACTTGTTGACCTTTCACACGCCAAAGCTTTCTGCTTTGTTGATTTCCCATAATTTAGAATACAGTAGCTTGATACCCCAGTCGGATGGATCCGGACAGTGGGCATTCGGTGATATAAATATGGCTGCATGGAAGGAAATGGCGGAATACCCATCTATAGGTAGAGCTTGGAGGAGCTGCAGGATGGAGAACATCTCACAGATTTCCCCAGCCAGCAGCACTGGCATTCTAGGAGGTGTCGTCCAAAAAAAGGAACTTTTCCATGCTCTTCCTTTAGTACACTTGGTTGGTGTTGGTGAGGTTCATAGTGGGGAGTGGGGAGAAAGTAAGATAAAGCTTACTTGGGGGTGGGAGGTCAGGTTCAAAGAACGTTTCAGAATAACTACCAGAAGGCCATCATAAGTTTTGTGTGGAGATGTTTTAAATGTCTGACCTGAGAACACGAGCCTTAGTCCCACCATGGCAAATACATGGGGCTTCGTGGGAATTTTCATAACTTCATGTGAGATATCGGTCTGGCCTTTTTGAAATCTGGGATGCATTGTCCTTTCCCACCCGCCCCGGTTTTTTTTTTTGGGGGGGGGGAAGGCCTGTTTTATGGATCTGGAAACAACGGCAGCAGAAATTGCTTCGCTCGAGGCTGCGGCGCTGAGGGGGTGGAGTGGGCTTTACTGTGTGGCCATAATTCCAGAAGCTAGGGACGCAGGGCAGAGAGAACTCTCTGACCCTTTCCAAAGAGGAGGCAGGCATGGCCCATGTGCGTGCGTACATGTGTGTGTGTGTGTGTGTGTGAAAGCTAATTGAGGCAGCAGCATGTCAGGAGGCTTTGCACAGGTGCTGAGGAGCAGTTCATTAAGTGGCGGCAGGAAGAGCGCTCTCTCTCTCTCTCTCTCTCTCTCTCTCTCCCCCTCAGCTCTGGCCAGGCTATTGTTAAGAGCTCCTGACAGCTGAGAGCAGCCCCTTTCTCTGGTCACAATAGCTGCTCACGCTGAGCAAGGCTCATTAAATATTCAGTCCCAGCCTCAAGCAGCTCATTAAGGCAGCAACGCGTGCGGGTGACGCGGCTGCTGGTGCTGGAAAACCCAGCCTTGCTGAGCATCACCATGCAGAGGCTCATTGGATCTCTGGATGCTCTTCTCCTCAGTGCCTTCCCTGTGATGACCAGCTTGTGCTCCCTGCTTTGCATTAAGTACAGGTAAAAAAAAAAAACGAGGAGGAAAACAAAACCAACTGATGTGGGGCCACTGATGTGGGTGCCTGGAGCACTGGTGTATTGCATTTGTATCGCCCTCTGGCCTTTTTGGAGTTACTGTTTGGGGTCAGCCGGTTGACATCTTCCAAAGGCTTCTGTGAAGCAGCAGCAGCTGTGGTTCTCTTTACTTTTCTGGAAGAGGAGGGAGTTGGACCAGGGACAGCACAACAGCAAGGGATTTAATGAGGCAAAGTTTTTTTTTTCTTGTTGAGATTGCAGCTTTCCTAAGGAAGTCGTGTGCCAGATGCTTGTATTGTGCTTTAGACACTGTCCTTTCTCCCTCCCAACCCCTTGGCATTAAGCAGTTACTTTTCTACACAAGATGGAACCTTTCCAATAGAAGTTTTTGTTTTTAATCCTCCCTCGAGAAAGGCTGTTACTAGACAGAAATAACTGGCTCCCAAAGTTCACTTTGTAAGTGCGTACCGGAGAAGCTACAGTGCGTACCGGAGAAGCTCTCAGCTGTTTGACATCCTGAACAATGTAATTGCATGTTTAATAACAGATAAGAAACAGAGCTGCCTTAAATGTTGATTTTTGTGGTAAAAGGTAGCTGCACCTCTCAGTTTCCAACTGAGAGCCCCTGACATCACAAAAGCAGAAATGTAATGTATTAAGTGCATCTGTATGTTGGGAGAGATTCCTTGTTTTATTAAAAATGCTCTGTGCAGACAAAAATATCATGATGTCTTGAAGGGACTAATGACATCTCTCTTCCATTCACAGAAAATGTTTTCAAACAGCTCATTTCTACGTAGAAGACAGCAGCTCCCCACGAGTGGTGCCAAACGAAACCATTCCTGTTATTCCCATCCCAGGTAAGGAAGGCCGGATCTCTAGACCTGACTTAATTGGTTCATGCTCAGTTTGTTCAAATGACAAATCACAGTTTACAGTGGACCCTTGACTTACAGACGGCTTGACTTACAGACTTTTTGAGTTACAGACTTCTCTGGCCGCAAAATTTAGGTTTGACTTGCAGACTGAGATTTGACTTACAGACCAGAAAAAAACCAAAATGGAACAAAAATGGCCTGTTACGGGATTAACCGGTTTTCAATGCACTGTAGGTCAAGACTTAATTGGTTCATGCTCAGTTTGTTCAATGACAAATCACAGTCTATACTTTATCGGGACCAGGAAAATCAACTGCATCCCCACAACAACTGGCTTCTTTCTGTATTCTAAAAGTCAAGACCCCACTGTATATTTATCAGGACCAGGAAAATCAACTGCTTCCCCACAATGACTGGTTTCTTTCTGTGTTCTAACCATCCTATGTTTCACAGACAATCTCCTGGAGTTTTTCAGTAAACTCTGTGAGTGGCATATTCTTTTCTGGATCAGCCACAAATGGGTTTGACAGCTGTGTGGAAGAAGCCACTTTATATCTTATATGTGCTACGCTCTCTGGGCTCCCCTACAATGTCATTAATCAATGGCTCACCCCCATCTCCATTGTTCACTGTAGTTTAATAACTACACCTTCCAGCAACTAAGAAATGGAGTCTAATGCATACTTACGCTGTAGGAAGTCCTTTTTTCAATGAGATTTACTCCCAAGTGAATGTTAATAGGATTGAAGCGTAAGCAGCTCTCTGTCTGTGGAAATGAGGATCTTTGATGGTGGTGTTTATTGGCCATGCTATGACCTGTCTATGGAAGTATCTTCTTTGCTATGTATATGATACCTTTTTGTGCCTATGCTATGTGATCAAATTAGGATCTTGAGATAAGTAAGGAGTGGACAGTGTCCTGAGGTATGGCAACTGCACAGACACCCCAGACTTCAGAAAGCCCAGCCTACTTTTTTTTTAACTTTAAAAGAGGGCCATCATGATACCTGGAGATATGTGAGAGACCTTAACCAGGTTTCTTCCCCCAGACCTGTTTTAGGCACGAGTGCTTTTTCTAGTAGTAGTAATTTCCTGTTTTTAAACTCACCCTGCACCTTAAAAAGGTTGAGGGCAGAATTGCCTTCCACTGCCCCCACCCAGGGCACTAGGGGACTTCTGAAGTAAAATGCAATTGATGTGCACTGGTTTTGTTTGAGGTAAGTAAAATTGCATACGTTTAGGCTGCAAATGTAAATACAGCTACCATAAGGGATGCCTTGTTTCTGAGTAAATATGTAAATACTCACAGTTTTTGTAGCCATCAATGAAAGGAATGCTGTGGCACATCAAGAGACCTACTGAAATAACTGTTAAGCCCTGGTAAGATTTTTCACTCCTGCACAAAAGCAAAAGGACAAAGGCTTTGTTGTCAGTCTCAAAATTAATAACAAAAAAGTACTTTTACACCCCACCCACCCCTGGGATTTTGCCTTTTTATAACCTTATATATTACACACAATCCAAGCTAAACATTGCAAAGTTTTGTGCAAAATGCATATATTTTGCACAAAAACCAATTCCATGAATGTTGCCTTGAAATGCAAAATATGCACAAAAACACATAATTTCTTCTAGAAAGGAGAAGAGTGTTTATGTGTTTCATTTGCACTTATGAGAAGAAAATCAGTGAAGATTTCATAACCCTACTTTTGAGTAAACACACCTACAGTATTTCTGCCAGAGTAGATTTGTTTGTTCCTAGTTTTTGTTTATAAACAAAAATAAAAATAAAATCAAGATGCATCTTTATGATTTCTTAGAGTTCCTAACGCTACTAATACTTAATACCACTAGCATGAAGTAGTTGTACATGGAATGACTCTCAGCAATAAATACGAGCAGTATAGCCAGATATAGAAAGACTGGTATATTGCTTGTAATATATCGCTTTTTATTTCTTCAGACAATGCAGCCTATTCATGTCTTTTCCTTGAATGTAAAATATATTGTAATAAAATTATATTCCTTTCATTTCACTTGCTCTGTGCATTTCGGCTTGAGTTAGACCACTGGACTTTAGAGTTGTAGGATTAAACACAAAAAATAGATGTCCTCGATGTCAGCAATATTGATCTAGATGTACTGTACTAGTCATCTAACTCGGTAGAAAGCAGGTTCTTGTGTTCCTGCTCTCTTGGCAACATGTCTGTCTTTCCAAGATACTTGCCTTGTGCTCAACTGACCCATTGGTCCTTCTGACCCAATACTGTCTATGCCTGCTAGCAGCTTCTCACCAGGGTGACAGGCAAGGCTCTTTCCACAAATAAAGTTGCCTTTGGAAACACTGGAAACATATTGGGGATTTTTTTTTTGGGGAGATTTCAAGATTGAACTTTGGATCCTTGGCATATTCCATATTTGTTTCTGTCCAAATACACTTTTGATCTTCTAATAAACTGTTTTAATCTGAAGGAAGGTCAAGGGCATAAGAAAAAGTTAAACATTTAGGAGTCTTGGGTGAATTTAAGGTGGATAACCTTGGACTTCGTTTGTAAGGTCTGGAAGATTTTGTCGGCAACATGACCTTACCAGCTGAGACAACCTCTGATATTTGTGAGTTAGCTTTATAAAGTGGTTGCCTCATCTTGTATATATGGGAAAGTTACTTGGAATGGGTTGCACGTCTTATATTTCCCAAGAATGATCCCATTAGATAGATTCTGAATTGCTGCTGGATCAACTTTGAAGGATTGTCTTCAGAAAAGTTCTGTGGATAAACTGTTCTGACATAGCTTTTCTTTACACATGCTATCCAACTAGCATGAAAGCATCATGTAAGAATTGTCTTTAACTAGAGAGTTCTGGAGAGCGCATCTGGGGGAGACTCAGTTTGGGGAATGCTGCCCAGTTGTAACTAAGATTGACATTTGTGTGACAACATTTTCCTATACTAGAAAAAGATTGTGCGTAGCCCTCCAAGTAGGGAGTGGTGCTATTTGTTCTGTTTGGTCTTCTGTTTTGACAACTGGCCATTTGATTTTCCAATTACTGTACAATGGTGAAGGACTGCCCTTTAACTTGTACCCATGCTTCTCTGTCCAGTAGAATTTGGATACAAACATGTGTGCACATGTGTGGTTATGGAAATGTTGTGGGGGTCCCTTGTTCCCTTAGTTTATGTCACATGTGTGGTTATGGAAATGTTGTGGGGGGTCCCTTGTTCCCTTAGTTTATGTACAGGTAAAATTGGCTATTGTAAATAAAATAGGAATTTTCTTTAACAAATGAAATTCTAATTTGGCAAATGGGTAAAAAATGAAAAGAAAAAGCTAGGGAAGCTCCAGCCTCCAAATGTTGTTGGTCCATGTTCCATCAGTCCTAGCCATTAGAGCTAATGGGGAAGAATGATGGGAGTTGTAGTTCAGGAACATCCAGAGGTCTCATGTTCCCAATCTCACCCATTAAAAGAGCTGCCTATAATTATGCAAGCTGTGTTGTTATTTTCTTGTGCTGGCAGTGTGTGATGTACATCCTTCTACCAACTAGCAGTCCTTTATACCAGCAATGATGTGATTGCTCTAAAAATAGGAATACAATAAAATATTCTTACTGATCTCCTGATATATCTTAGAAAACTTGTATTCTATAATGCATTACTTCCAGAATACTGGACATTCCTTAAATGGCACATGGTCTTCCTCCACATTCTTGTACAGGTGATGTGGCACATTCAGAGGCAAAAGCTATACTATAGGCGTACAAGTCTGTTTAGCTGCTAAAAGTTTCAGGGTTCAGGGACATACTCAGCAGAATTTAGTTTGTAAAAACTTTTTATGGATTGTTGACTAAGGCAGCAGCCTAGCAGAATAACTCCCTCCCCCCCCCAAAAAAAAGTGTGTTGTGTTCAGAGCATCTCACTTCTCAAATAGTATCATCCAGAAATGCTTTGCCAAAAAAAATGACATAGGATAATTTTTGTTGTAATACATCAGGTTGGCTAAGACCAAGAAAAGAAAAAAAAGGTAACCCAATGGCAAAATAAAGTAGATTTGTTGGGACGCTTTCATCTTTCTCAGATTAAACACATACACACACACAAAGCTGCACATAGCCTGTAGCCTTAAAAATCAAGGATGTAGCTTATTGTTCTTCAGAGGACTGTGATGTAGAATGCTTAGCCAGTTGGTCTGGTACTGTATGGATTCTGCTGCAAACAGGACTCTGGGGAAAGCAAAAATATTTCATCCTGATGCAGGAGATTTTTAAAATGTTAATGCTTTCCCATGGAAAGAGCACTTAGCATATAAAAAACCAAGTACATGGTAAACATTGTGACTCAGCTCTTTATACCATATGCTAGTCACACTGGTTCCAGATTTGAACACATGTTGTTTATATTATTTATTAAATAGGTGTTTGGGTTTTGTTTTGGAGCAGACAGCATATTTTTCAAAATTTGATTCTCCCACTTACTCTCTGAAACAATTCTATTCAAGGAGGTATTTACAGTCCTAGTTCACTGGATGTGTCAATTAGCTTTGCCCAACCTAGGGTCTTCTATGCATGCTGAATTGTCACCTTGACCATTCCCAACCAGTATAGCCGTTTGGGATGAAATGAGCTCTCCACATACCTCAAGAGGTAGCTGGATGCAGACCATGTCTTGTTCTTTCTGAGAGAAAGAAGCAAAGGCTCCTTCCTCAGAGACATCCCTACACTCTAATAATTTATTTCCAGAAATACAAGTCTGAATACATCTCTACGAGATGATTTTGGATTTTTCAGAAAGCATATATTGGCTACAGGTCTGAATGCATGTTATTCATTTGATTTATTAGGTACTGCGAATAGGTTTACATCTGTCCCTACTCTACTCTAGTCTAATTTGAGAATATGGTTTGCTACCAATTAGGAATTCATAAAACTCTAATTATTTTTAATAGGATGATGTAGTAAACTCATAATTAAAATTTTCAGATATT